CACTCGCCTCGGGTGGAGTGACGTTAGAAGTGACGTCAGGGGAGCTTCGGGTAAGGTGACGTCATGTCCCTCCAGGGTATTTGAGGGAGGACCGGTGACGTGTACGGGGTCTTCACCGGGAGCCGGGAATGTGAGCAGTGGGGGAAGTGGGGACCCAGGGTAAGGGGAAAATAGCACCAGGCTAGGGGGCTACTTTATCTGGCTGGCCGAGTTGGTTAAACCACCGGTCAGCGCCGAGGGAAGAGCCCGATAGCCTGGGAGGGCGTAGGGAATTCCCAGTACCCTTCCCCTGGGGAGATTTAGCTTGGCCGGCAAGTTGTGTTAGCCCTTTCCAAAGCTAGGCAAAAGCCCATAATAAACAATTGGCGTTAGCTCAGACATGGGCAAACTACGGGCCGCATACGGCTCGTTGGACTTTTTAATCCGGCCCGCCGAACTTGTCCAACCCGATTTGGTCGCGACTCGAACCTAATTTCCCCATTGGATTGTATGTAAATACAATTAATCTGTTCCAGACTCCTACGAACTGTATAAAGTTTTTTTAAAGATTATTAGGCACTAAAATAGTTAATTACGCAATAGAATTCAGTGTGATAGTAAACTAAATGTAACAACATTGAATAACACCGAGATAACCTTGAATAACAAAAAACTAACATTGCCGCATCAAGGTTTAGAATCGTTCAACAAGATGATTGTTTCATCTGCTACATCAGTCGGTCGATTCTGAGAGAGAAAATATTCGTATGAGCAATTCATGTTTCTATTGAAAGTAAGTTAACGGTAATATTTGGGTACAGTATTGTTTTTGGAAGCATTCACCGTAATATCGTATCAACGTTTACTTCACCGCATCATCGTATGAATGGTGCGAGAAGAGATTAACGGGTTCTTATGTTAGCGATTTACGTACTCTGCGCTTTCGCTCTCTAAATTACGGCTTGAATGAGGGGGTGGGGTACGACTACACTCACAAAATTATCTTACTAGGAATTTCATATAACAAAAGTTATATACATAACTGTTACGCTTTGTGTAATTCAACAAAACAAACACTTAACTCCGAGTTCTCTCCAAATTTCATGAGTCCGTTCTTGACCAAACAGTTTTTTTAAAGAGTTTTAAGCACAGAACACATAATTAAAGTTTAAAAAATCATTAATTATACAAACTTTTCAATAATTTCCTTCTTCACTTCTATTAAAATTTTCTTTAAAACCTTCTTCTCACCAACTTTACCACTTTCTCCGAAGGCAAGTTTGTAAAAGAATGCATGGTACAGACAGCAGACATCTTGTGTCCGGAACAGATGGCGGCGCGTATACATGCAGCGGCTCCTCTCTCTCCCATCAGATCGGTGTTTTTATGTTTTTTGTGTTATCCATCTACGTGCATTTGTTTGTCATCATCACGTCGATTAAACGTAAGGCGCACATACTCTCGCGAATTTCTGCTCGCCATCGGCAGAACCACACTCATGGATATAAACCCAGCAGACGCGGAAGAGCTACGCGACTGCGGTCTGCTCCAGAGGCCTGCTCTACCACCGACCCCTACTACTGCAACCAGCCTACAGTGGAAGCGCCACAGGCGGTGTATGAGGAAGCAGAAGAGGGGAAAGCGCGTAGGTATCGAGGCTAGGCGAGCGGCTAGCCCTCACCGGCCGGCTATCACTACCATCTCACTGGCAAACGTACGCTCGCTGGAAAACAAACTGGACTATATCCGCCTTCTTCGTACAACTTCCAGGACTGAGTGAGTGCTGTGTCCTTGTGTTTGTGAAGACATGGCTTAACGACAGCGTCCCGGACCATGCCATTCAGCTAGCCGGGCTAACATGTTACCGGGCGGACAGAGCGCTCGTCGAGGGGGGGGAAGACTCGCGGTGGGGGACTCTGTGTTTACATCACCGATGCCTGGTGCCGCGACGCTGTTGTGGTCTGCCAACACTGCTCATCATCGGTGGAGTTTATGGTAATTAAATGCCGGCCATTCTACCTGCCGAGGGAATTTAGTGCCATATTGCTGGTGGCACTATACATCCCCCCTGGCTCCGAAAACAACAGGAACGAGGCACTGTATGAACTCCATCAGCACATCGGTGACCAGCAGACAGCCCACCCAGATGCCTTCCTCATTCTGGCTGGGGATTTCAACCATGCCAACCCCAAGATCGTGTTTCCACAACTCCAGGGACACATCAACTTTCCCACACGAGGAAACAATATCCTGGACAATGTCTACACTACACACAAAGGTGCCTACAAAGCCCGTCCCCTCCCCCACCTTGGGGCCTCAGATCACACCACTGTTCTGCTAACGTCAGCGTACAGGCCGCTGGTTAAAGTCACCAAACCAGTTATAAAGCGGATATGTGTGTGGCCTGAGGGGTCTTCAGAGGCACTCCAGGACTGCTTCTCCACCACCGACTGGAACATGTTCAGAAAGGCAGCCACCTACAACAACACCGTAGACCTCCAGGAGTACACGGAGACCGTCACTTCCTACATGAGGAAGTGCATGGAGGATGTCACGGTCACCAGAACCATCTCCATTCAGGCCAACCAGAAGCCATGGCTGACAGGTGAAGTCCACAGGCTCCTGAGGGCTCGGAAGGCCGCCTTCAAAGCTGGCGAAGACAGCCAGGGCCAACCTGTCGCGAGGCATCAGATTGGCCAAGAGGCAGTACTCCAGGAGGATCGCCGACCGCTTCAATGACAGCAGAGACACCAGGAACCTGTGGCGAGGGATGCAGACCATCACGGACTATAAACCCTCTCCGCAGACCTGTGACAGCTCCACCTCTCTGCTGAACCAGCTGAAGGACTTCTTCGCTCGCTTTGAGGCAGACAACAGCACCCCAGCACAGAAGACTCCACCACCTCCCGGTGATCAGGTGCTGACGCTATCCCCAGATAGCGTGAGGAGATCCCTCAGAAGGACGAACCCAAGGAAAGCCCAGGGCCCTGACAACATTCCGGGTCGTGTCCTGAGAGACTGTGCGGAGGAGCTCACAGATGTCTTCACCGACATCTTTAACACCTCGCTGAGACAGGCTGTTGTACCCACGTGCCTCAAAGCTACCACCATCATCCCGGTCCCGAAGAAGTCATCTCCCTCCTGCCACAATGACTACCGCCCGGTCGCACTCACTCCCATCCTTATGAAGTGCTTCGAGCGGCTAGTCCTACAACACATCAAGTCTGTCCTTCCCCCCGCCCTGGACCCTTTCCAGTTTGCGTATCGGTCTAACCGCTCAACCGATGACGCCATCTCCGCTACCCTCCTCTCAGCTCTCACCCATCTTGAGACTAAAGACTCCTACGTCAGAATGCTGTTCATCGACTTTAGCTCAGCATTCAACACAATCATTCCCCAGCAGCTCATCCACAAACTAGACCACCTGGGGCTCAACACCTCCCTGTGCAACTGGCTATTGGACTTCCTGATAGGGAGACCACAGGCAGTTCGAGTTGGCAGCAACACCTCCAGCACCATCACACTGAACACAGGGGTCCCCCAAGGATGTGTGCTGAGTCCCCTCCTCTTCACTTTGCTGACCCACGACTGCACACCATCATTCAGCTCCAACCTCTTCATTAAGTTTGCGGATGACACAACTGTGGTGGGTGCCATCAAAAACGGTGATGAGACAAACTACAGGAGTGAGGTGAGCAGGCTGGCCACGTGGTGCAAGGACAACAATCTCCACCTGAATGTTGAGAAGACGAAGGAGATTGTCGTGGACTTCAGGAGAGTGCACACCCAGCATACTCCGCTAACCATCAACGGTGCTGCAGTGGAGAGGGTGAGATGCACCAAGTTCCTGGGTGTGCACATCTCTGAAGACCTGTCGTGGAGTCACAACACTGCATCACTGGCCAAAAAAGCCCAACAGCGCCTGTATTTTCTCCGCAAACTGAGAAGAGCAGGAGCCCCGCCCCCCATCATGCACACCTTCTACAGAGGCACCGTTGAGAGCATCTTGACGAGCTGCATCACCGTGTGGTACGGCACCTGCACCGTGTCCTGCCGCAAGACTCTGCAGCGCATAGTGAGAGCAGCTGAGAGGATCATTGGTGTCTCTCTCCCCCCTCTTCTGGACATTTATAACACCCGCATCACCAGCAAAGCAATCAAGATTGCAGGTGATCCCACCCACCCATCTCACAGCCTCTTCAGTCTGCTGCCGTCAGGGAGGAGACTGCGGAGTCTTCCAGCCAGGACCAGCAGGCTCAAAGACAGTTTCTTTCACCAGGCTGTCAGGAGACTCAACTCCCTCCCTGCTCTACCATCATTCCCCCCCACCCCCCTTTGCCCCCTGACCCCATCCCCCACACACACAGTCACTCGTACATCCTGATCTCTGGACTGCACATTGCACTACATCGCACTACCACACTGGTTTAAATATCTTATTTCTTTAAATACTTTATTTAAATAATATTTTACATTTTAAAAATTCTTGACTGTTGTTTATTTTAAGTTTATTACATTTGATTATTTATCTTGTGTTGATCGCCGATTGTTTATTGTTTATTTATGTCTGTTAATTGTGATTAATTTTTTAATTGCTTGGTTGCACCGTGGGACCAAGAGAGAGGACTGTAATTTCATCTGTGTTGTATGTCATGCATGTAACACACTTGACAATAAAGTGACTTTAAGACTTTAAGACTTAAGACTTAAGATCAAAAGCAAATTTGAAATATCAGCTTATCACGCAGGACTGACTCGCCGTGTGGAACTGATTGATAAAAAAAAATATAGCCAGTCAATTAAACAAAGTCTGATTCCTTTGAATTATATTCACTAGCACTGGATGAAAGTACGGACGTAAAATACACTGCTCAGCTCCTCATTTTGCGATAACAGAGGAGGTTTGACCATAGAGTCCCTGAAAGGAACAACGCGGGGAGAGGACTTGTATAACCAGGTATCTGCTGTCATCGAAAGAATGACGCTATAACGGATGGATCGACAAATTTAACTGGAAAAAATGTTGGGCTGCTGAAAAGAATCCAGGATAAAGTGAAAGAGAAAAACCCTGTTCAGGATCTTATTTTCCTTCGCTGCATCATCCAACAGGAATCCCTGTGTAAGTCTGTATTGCAGCTTAATCATGTCGTGAATCCAGTCGTAAAACTTGTGAACTGTATACGAGCAAGGGGACTTCAGCACCGTCAGTTTGTTACCTTCCTGGAGGAAACTGATGCGGATCATCAGGACTTGCTGTACCACTCTCGTGTCCGCTGGTTAAGTTTGGGGAAAGTGTTACAACGAGTGTGGGAGCTGAAAGAAGATATCATCGCATTTTTGGAGTTGATGGGGAAATCTGACGAATTCCTTGAGCTAAGCGACAAGAACTGGCTTAGTGACTTTGCGTTTGCTGTGGACATATTTTCACACATGAATGAGCTGAAAGTGAAACTGCAGGGGAAAGATCAGTTTGTTCACGACATGTACAAACATGTGAAAGCCTTCAAATCCAGCGCACTTTGTTCTCCGGACAAATTGCGAACAAATCTTTTGCTCATTTCCCTACACTTGCCATGCAGGAAGAGGCACCGCGAAATGCAAAAAAATACATCAAATCACTTGAGGACCTGCATGGAGAATTCTGCCGTAGGTTCTCTGATTTCGAAAACATTGAACAGTCACTTCAGCTGGTGTCCTGTCCCCTGTCACAAGACCCTGAAACAGCACCACAGGAGCTGCAGTTGGAACTGAAATATCTTCAGTCTGGCTCCGTCTTAAAGGAGAAGTTCAACTCTGTTAAACTGAATGACTTTTATGCTTCACTTAACAGGGCCACGTTTCCAAACCTCCGGAGGACTGCACAGAAGATACCGACTTTGTTTGGCTCGACTTATGTGTGCGAGCAGACATTCAGTGTCATGAACGCCAACAAAGCCCGTCACAGATCAAAGTTAACGGATCAGCACCTCAGATCTATCCTGAGAATTGCCACAACCAAAATAACTCCAGACTTGGATGCACTGGCAAAAATGGGAGATCAACAACACTGTTCTCATTGAAACTGAAAGTGATTATGTGTTGCTGCAGCGAGGTTGGAGCCAAATCTCCGCAACACAGTCTGCGTGGCTGCTCTAACCTGTTAATGTAGATAATAAAGAAGTTCAAGTGAGGTAATTGGTTTGGCACAGGGCTCAGATGTTTTCATGATGTTTGATCAGTCACGTTACAACATGTTTTGTATTGTTCATGTTCGTGCAATTTGTTAAATTGCCTTGCAAATAAATGCTTTGCTACCTGTTAAAGGCCACATCCTTTCATGTAATGATTTTTACATGTCATTTATATTAGTTCACACAAACACTCCAGCCACCTGTTCCTGGCCCGGCCCCTCTGTCAAATTTTAGAACCCATTGTGGCCCGCGAGTCAAAAAGTTTGCCCACCCCTGCGTTAGCCCCTACAACGTCGGCCTTCGTGTCATTCTTCACACCTCAACCACTGGTGTCGGAAGTGGCTTCCGTGCTCACGACCATGTCGAAGTCCGGCGCGAGACGGAAGACTGAGCCTGGTGTATAGACGAACGAAGAGGACGACGAAGATCCCGGAGATCGGGGCCCCGGAAATGTGCCCCGTGGAGGTGGCCCGGCTGGAGCCGGAGGAGGCGGCGGCCGGGGAAGCTGTGGCGCCACCATCAGACGTGTGGCGCGGCATCGCTGCCCAGCTGGAGCTGCTCCAGAGGTCGGTGACGCAGAACGTCGTCACATTTTTGAAACTTGCCATTCCAATGCACTTTTAATGGACGCCTCTGTCGGAGGTAACTCAAAAATGACCATTTTCTCAGGCAGAAGGAAGGTGGTGTAAGATAAAGGATGCCCCGTGACACACATGAGAGTAATCCCCACCAAGTTTTGTCGTTCCATGGAGCCTATCGCTCAAAATATTTACTTTCTTGAGTGTACATGCATCTGCTGGAATAGCCCGAGTAAATTTCATCTGCCGATAAATAGCATGTTCTTGAGGAAGCAGGGCGCTCAGTCATTCATAAATTAGCTGGATTTGGTTTGTGGTTTGTTTCGCAAGTGGCTTTTTCAACCTTCAAGGGCATGCAGAAATATCCCCGTGAGAAACAGAAAGGAATAAAATTGCCTAAAAAAACGTTTTACACCTTCACAAATCATGGCGTTGGATTCGTCTTGAAAATTCGTAAAAAACCTACATACGATACATGTCCGACGTTTCCCTCTCTAGATACAAGTTAAGGAGAAAAGCAGCCTTTGGGGCCTTAACGGTCGCAAAAATCGCCCGTTACATATACATGGGTCGGCTTCCCCTCTCGAAAACGGACACAAGTCACCCCCCGCCAGGCATTCAACTAACGACAAATGTCAGTAAGTGGCATAGTTCTGCTTTAAAATGCCCATTCGTCTTGCGTTGCTCAGGGTAATGCCCGCCAATTTCTACCGTTTGTCGGTAGTTATCGATAAAAATCTAGCATGCACCAAAACGGGAAAACACTTCCATCACACCTGCACAAATGTATGGACAGGCTGCATCTTCATGTGATGCATAAGTGGTGTCGTTGGCTGGTTGTGCCTCAGCAGGTTGTTCCCACACGGTTTCCGCGAATGAGCGCGCGTCTTGAGCTGTGTTACTCTGCCCGAGGAGCCTCTTCTCCTCCAGAGTGTGTGGCGAAGGCTGTCCCTTGGGTCGTTGCTGCTGCACGAGTCGCTGCGCTGTTCGGTCTTGTGCCAAGGAACTGCGCAAGAGTGAGGGTTGGTTTCCGTTGCTTTCAGTTTCAGTTTCATTTATTAGGTATAACCCTGTGAGCCATGCAGATCTTGACTCGGGTGCAACCGCAACAAAAACCTGAACAAGAAACATCTTAAAGTGACTACATGCAACGGAAAAATCCTGGAAAAAACAGCAAAGTCTTCCAGAGAAAATACCGCATTTCAAAAGTGTGCAAAAATCCCAGTGGGAATGCAAGTCACACAATAACAACCATAAGACAATGTAGATTAAAGTTATCAGGCCAACTCTACTACAACGAACAAACATGGCCAGACCAAACAGTCCTCAAAATCACCAAAATAAAGCCATAAAAACAATGTAATAGTGATCATAGGATTCAAATTCAACAGCAAACGGTATAAATAACTGGTACGACCAAACCCCGCAGCCATAGCTGGCTGCATGAGTCACTCCATAACAGCAGGAGCATCAGTAGTAGAATAAAAATTTCTCAATACACCTTTAAAGATCAGCACACCACAATCCTTTAAAGAGCATACTTTGCAGTGGTCATCCGGAATGATACATTTGATTTCAGGCCATTCTGAATAGTAGTGGCAGCTAGGTGAGTGAAGATCTCACAGGTAGTGATCCAAGTTGCAGTGTATTGGTGATAGCATTCCAGACCCTGGGGACATCAATAGAAAGGGCCCTTCCTCCAGTATTTTCACAGCAATAAGGAATTTGAAGCTGGTAAATGAGCAAAGACCTTAGGCCACATTTGTTCTTCGAAACAGTGAAGAGATCCAGCAGGTAAGTCTGCTGATTTTTTTGTAAGTACATCGTGAATAAATAAGATCTGATGCACATCATAAAGAGAAGTTAAGTTTGACCCAATAGAGATTGCAGTGGTGGGTCCTATACGGGCAGTTCAAATGAAAATCTTAAGGCCGAGTGATACATTGAGTCAAGCTTCTTCAGTAAAGTACTGGGGGCTGATTTATATACGATGTCAAAGTAATCAAGTAGAGGCAGTATGGCAGCGTTTATCAACTCTAAGCGGAACCTAGGGAGCAAGCAGCGCTTGTGTCGATACAGAAAACCAATTTGTATTTTGTTTTTTTACCAATATAATCAATGTGATCAGTTCAGTTTTGAATCAAAGATTCTTATAGATCTTGACTTGCTCTATTTGATGATTATTTAAGGAATATAATTGGGGAAAAATAACTTCCTGCTTTAGTCCTGGTGAGAAGCATAGCACCTTGGTTTTGGAGGTATTCAGGACCAGTTTAATAGCAACTAGCTGATGTTGTAGTTTGTTGAAATCACCCTGGAGCTTAGCAATCATGTCATCTGGAGAGCGACCAGCAGTAATCAGTATCGTGTCATCTGCAAACAGATTTACCCTGGAATGATCCAGGTCAGTGGTCAAGTCATTGACATAAAGAGAGAACAAAAGGGGGCCGAGGATGGAACCATGTGGATATTCTGTTTGAGAGGAGGCCTGACGGATCCTTGGGACATTCTGTCTACAGGAAAGCCACCCACACAGATTCCTACTTGAAACCGGATTCCCACCACCACCCATCTCAAAAGAATTCTCTCATCAAAACGCTATACCACAGAGCCCATGTCATTTCCGACCAACACCACCTGACCGGTGAATTAAGACATGTACATCGGGCCCTCAGGATGAACGGATACTCTGACCGCACTATCCGCCAAGCTGTTTCTCCCACCACACAGAAACAGCCACATGAAACTCCGACCAAAACTATCACGTTACCATACATAGCAGGCGTGACCAAAAAGATCTACAAAATTCTAAACAAACATAAGATCCAAGTCCGATTCAGTACAATGCATAAAATCCGTGATCTGATTCCATCTGTGAAGGATGTCGTTCCTGACTTACAGTATCCTGGAGTCTACAAATTGAGTTGCATTCGTGGTGATTGCTACATTGGAGAAACGAAACGTCATGTTTCTGATCGTGTCCGCGAGCACAAGTCAGATCTGAAACACGGCAGAACTGATTCTTCGGCCGTTGCCGATCATTGCTACAACTCGGTGGGCTCTCATGAAATTGTCTTTTCCGAGACCAAGGTTCTCTGCAAACCTCCTGGCTACCATCAAAGGTTTGTACACGAAGCCATACAAATATACAAACACAGACATAATTTCAACCGTGATGATGGGTACAAACTTAGTAATCATTGGAAAGATGTTATCAACCACGCAAAAAAGACTTAATTACACATTTTTGGACCATCTTATCTGACAGGCACTATTTTACTTTACCGAGTGTTAACATCCCCCGTGTTTAACAGTACTCTCTTTATTGTTCAGCCAGCACTGGTATAAACATGGGCATTTTCGTTCTTTTATCTCATGTGTATCAACAGGTGCTTGTACACACACATGTCCACGTATACTTGCACCCCACACTCTCTTTTGGCCTCCCCTCCCCCTCTGTCCAATATGTTGGCGTGTGCAACAATAGTTGCTTGCGCACAACCACGTCCACGCCGCCGCCCTCGTGTACCGCGTCGTCCATCCTTTTGGCCCCGCCCCCCTCCCCCTCCCGATACATTCCATTCATTGGCTACCACATTCTGATGAGCTCCCCCCCCTCAACTTGCATTTAAGGGATTACATCTTGAATCCTTGCCTCACTTGATGCAGCAAATCTGGCTCTGACGGTCCCACCTGATGACAGAGACTTGTGTTGCCTCCGAAACGTCGTGATTTTTATTTTATTTTACTTTTATTAATTTTAATGTTTTACCTACGTGACTTTACCGAAAAAACCTAAGAACATGTGGAACCCCTTTTGTTATATTAACACTGTTTGACCTCCAACCATCTGTGAATACAGTTTTGGGTGCGAGAAGAGACGTAACTTTTTAACCATTCTACTGCGTGTTTGGAGAAACAGAGGCAACTTAATTTACTAAGCAGGGTGTTGTGGTCCACTGCAAAGGCTTTGGACAAGTCAAGAAAAAGACTGGCGTAGTACTGCTTATTATCAAGGCTACTGTAAATGTGATTCAGAGAGTCTAATGCAAAAGATGTGGGGTGCTGTATTTTTTCTGGAACCCAGATTGTTTTCGATGTAATAGATTGTTGTCGGACAGGAAACTGCTAATTAGGTAGTTCAATAATTTTTCAAAAATTTGCATCAACGGGGACAAAATTGAGATAGGTCAGTAGTTATTTGCATCATCTTTAGGGCCCCCTTTGTGAAGTGGATGAACATAGGAATGTTTCCATTCTAGAGGTACAGATGCTTCTTTGATGGACAGGTTGAAAATATGGGCTATAGGTCTAAAAGGAGGTGGAATTAAAATCTATGTTCGTAATACTATTGCATGTTCACCAACTCACTTCTTGTTAAAAAAATGGTGCTTTGAAGGTCTGGCTCTCAGAATAACTCCCAAATAATCGACAGTTATTGGTAGTGTGCTGCTATAGACCGCCTTGTGGTAAGGATGTTGAAGCTGCGTCTGCACTGAGAGCTTCTTGAGGGCCTCCCTAAAGGTGAAATAGTTTGTGGGTGATCTAAATTGGAATTGGCTTAACCCGCCACAAATTTTGCAGATGAATTTAACCTGTTTCAATTAATAAATGTCCCCACAAGACCCAATACATTATTAAAAAGGTGACCTTTTTAATAATGTATTGGGAGTCACACCTGTTCATGCAATTTCCGACACCCCTGTCCAAACATTAAACAAATTTAGTTTCCAGCCAATCCACGAAAGTAATGTTCTGAAACAACTGTCCTACCTCAAAGGGTCCTCCTCTACCGGAGCAGATAGTATTCCTGTCTTTGCTCTGCTAACTGTTGGTCACCGAATATACAGGGAGGAAAAAAAGTATTTGATCCCCTACTGATTTTGTACTATTGCCCACTGACAAAGAAATTATCAGTCTATAATTTTAACGGTAGGTTTATTTGAACAGTGAGAGACAGAATAACAACAAAATCCAGAAAAACGTATGTTAAAAATGTTATAAATTGATTTGCATTTTAATGAGGGAAATAAGTATTTGACCCCCTCTCAAATCAGAAAGATTTCTGGCTCCCAGGTGTCTTTTATACAGGTAATGAGCTGAGATTAGGAGCACACTCTTAAAGGGGGTGCTCCTAATCTCAGCTTGTTACCTGTGTGGTGGTCAAGGTTGACACCAAGGTTGACACAGGTCACACAGGTCACACAAGCTAGGGGAGAGGTACGTACCGGTCTGGACCGGTCTGGACCGGCAGGGACGAGAGGTGGTTGGAACCGCTCTGAGGGGAGGGGGCTGGCGAGAGCCAGGGCCCCGAGACACCCCCGCCCCTCAGAGAGAGGGGATATAAGACGGCTCCCGGAGAGCGGAGGGGCGATCTCACGAGATCCTGGACCCCCAAGCCTCGAGGATGCCGCCCCGCTGGGACTGAGTGGGCTGAGTAGCTGTAGGCTAGGGAAGGAGAGTAACTGAGTAGCTGTAGGCTAGGGAAGGAGAGTAACTGAGTAGCTGTAGGCTAGGGAAAGAGAGTAACTGAGTAGCTGTAGGCTAGGGAAGGAGAGTAACAGAGTAGCTGTAGGCTAGGGAAGGAGAGTAATGAGAATAGAGCCGGAGGCTGTACCTCCCTAGGTTGTGTGGTTAGACTGTTCCCCCAGTGAGTCCGGAGGACTAGTGTTATTGGAATAAAAGCGTGTGGCCTCTACGAAGTCTCGGTCTCATTCAAGAATACTACAACTGGTGTTCGAAGCGGCCAAAGAACCTCGCCGACATGGAGACAAGACAGAAAGCGGTCACCAGGGGCCAGGAGAAGGACGTCGAGGGAGACGCTGAGCCGGAGGCGGGAGCGCCATTTCCGGGGGACGGGTCTGCGGGGGCGGGCTCGGGTTCTCCGGGGCCCTCCAGGAGTCCGCCGACGTCGGGATGGGCGATCCAGTCGGCCCATGCCCGGCTGGCCGATCTCCTCCATGCCGCTGCCTCCATCCTCGACGAGCTCACGCTGGGGGGAGCGGG